TCTTGGCTGTGACAGTTTCTTAGATTTTCCTTGTTTTTGATGACCTTGACCATTTTGAGGAGTGGTGGTCAGATATTTTGTAGAATGCCCCTCATTTGTTTGTTTGTCTGATATTTTTCTCATAGTTAGAATGGGTTTATGGATTTGGGGAGGTCATACAGCTGAAGTGCCCTTATCATATAATATCAGGAGTACTTGCTATCAACATGATTTATCACTGGTGATGTTAATATCAATTAAAATGTCTCCTGGCCAACGTGGTATTTTCTAATTTTCTCCACTCTAAAATTACTTTTCCCCCACCTTCCGTACTCTATTTTTTGGAAGCACAGTCCACACTAAAAGGGGTGGGATACAGAACTCCATTTCAAAGAGACAGGAGTATCTATATAAATTATTTGAAATTTTTCTCTAAGGAAGATTTGTCTCTTTCTCCCTATTTATTTAATCAATCATTTATTTATATCGGCGTTGACTCATAGATATTTATTTTATATTGGGGCTATCACCTAATACTATGTTATTTATTTTGTTGCTCAATTTGTTTCTGCTTTGGCCCTTGGGAGCCATTTCAGGTTGGCTCCTGTGTCCCCTTGGTTTGTTCATTTTCATGTCCTGCTTTTTGTTTTTTGAGCACTTCCTTGCTTTCTGGCACAGCAGTATGCTCCAGGCTCATCTTTATTCTTCATTCTCACCCCTAGAATCAGTCATTTCTTCAAGGAGCCCTAGTTGCTTTCAGTAGAGAATGGCATTAGAAACCAAGACCTTGGCACTGGGTGTGCTCATTGCTACTGGGCTGTCACTGCTTCTAGCTCTCTCAGCAGGAAATATATATGTATAATAACCCATGCATACACACATATTTCTGTATTTATCCATCTGTATCTATGTTAAGCCGAACATGAGTTTATATTGATGTCCTTGACTCTAATCCAGTACTACATGGATTATTCTAGCCTTCCCTCTTTGCTTATCTGTGAGAATTATCCCTATGACAGTGAGAAACCTGGCTCCCACCATCCACCATTCAACTCCATTATATATGCATAGCTGTTTCATAATTGGTAACTCATACCCCTGTGAGAAGCAGTTTTAGAGTACAGTGTTTATATACAATTCCCTCTGTCCTTAGCCTTATGGTTTCTAGTCAAATCAAGGTTTCCAAAATTTCCAAAGCTATTTAGGTTAGTTTCATTTTCTTCCCCCCACTCCCTATAGGGCATCTCCCTCCTTTAAAATGATTTCTTCCCATTTGACTTGGGAGAAATACTGGATGTTGGCTTGTCAATGAGCCTTTGAACCATGACGTTTCTCTCAAGTCAGTGTCATAACTATAAGAGCTTTTCACCAGACATGGCAGACCGATAAGTGTTCTAGATGATTTTCATAAAATGGTAAAATCTCTTTTTTCACATGTTATATAATTATAAAAGTCTAAGTGCTCATTCTGGAAAATGTGGACATTTTTATACTGTAGCAAAGTGTAAAGAGTAAAGAATCTCTAAACTCACCATGAAGAGCTATTTTCTTCATATTTCCAGTAACAGATGTACCATGTTATATAAACACTGGAAACATCCAGAATATGGGTTTGGAAAAAGCAATGTCAGTCAACTCTGATCTGGAAAACGTGGTTTCTCTTGAGAAAGTAAGGAACTTAAAAAGATGAGATATGCTTGAAGACACAGAGATTGAAGTGGAAATTACCACCTCCCCTGCTTCTTCTGCCTTACATCTGGGTAGTTGTGCGCTGAAAAAAATTCCCTCCGCTTAAACCCCTTCTTTCAGAACTGAGAGCCCTGTCCATCCCTCCTTTCTCCAGGCACTTTGCTTTGCACATTGTAGGAACTCAGGAAATAATTGACATGTAGCTGAAGTAGACCTAAGTCAGCCTCAAAAATCAACTGTTTCTATTTAATTTCAGATTTATTTTAATTTATTTTTCATTTGGCAATAAACACTTTTTAATGGATTAATCATGATTCATTTTATAGCTGGCCCTACGTTTAAGATGTTGGTGACGCTCTTTCCGCCCTCCAAAGCCCTTGATGGAGCACATTAGCCGAACTCTGTTGCCTTTATGAGCTGGGGTCCATTTTATTAGCCACATAATGTTTGTAGTTTGGTGTCTTTAACTCCAATTTCCTTTTACTCACCAAAGGAAGAACCACAAGAGGGACTTTTGCCAGAGGCAGAAAACCTTTCTCCTCCCTTGCTTCAAATCTATCACTTTACACAGAGGGTGTTTTAATGGGAAAAAGCTAATAAAACTTTTCGCTTTGGATTTTTTCCCTCCCAGGGAGACGGTATTTGGGCCATATAGAGCCATTCAATCTGATGGACCAACCGTTTTAAAGACTTCCCCTCCATAAGCCCAGTTTTCTTACAGGGATGACAACCTCAGCATTGTCAGGGCTTGTCTCGGGGGCCAGTTCAGTTCTGGGCTCACTGCAGGGTTCTGGATACTTCTCTTTCTGGGGGTTGTGTATCTGCTTCGTGTCAGTGGGAGGGCTAAAGGGAAGCTGAAGGAACAGCCTGGGGTAGCAGGGCAGCCGGGCATTTGTGACATCAGCAGGGCCACCTTCATTTGAGTAGGATAAATGTTTCTGTACAAGGCAGTGGTCCAGCCTGAGCGGGGGGGTCTGAGATCCAGCCTGTGCCCGGCTCGCGTGCGCCCTCGTGTGGGACTGTGTATGGGTGTCTGAGGGCTGCTGTAACAAACTACGACTAACTGGGTGTCTTAAAACAACAGAAACTTGGGAATTCCCTTGTGGTCCATTGGTTAGGACTCTGTGCTTTCACTGCTGAGGGCAGGGGTTCAATCCCTGGTCGTGGAACTAAGATCCTGCCAGCTGCATGGCATGGCCAAAACAAACAAACAGACAAACAAACGACCCCAGAAATGTATCCACTCATAGTTCTGGAGGCTAGAAGTCTGAAATCGAGATGTGGCTGGTCCTGGAGTCTCAGAGGGAGAATCTGCACCACGTCTCTCTCTTAGCTTCTGATGGTTGCCAGCGATCTTTGGCATCACTTGGTTTGTGGCAGCATAACTCCCATTTCTGCCTCCATCTTCATGTGGCCTTCTCTGTGCGTGTTTCTTCTCTTCTTACAAGGACACTGGTCATATTAGATTTAAAGTCCACCCTAATCTAGTATGACCTCATTTTAATTAATCACATCAACAAATACCCTATTTCCAAATAAGGTCACTTCTGAGGTTCCTGTTAAATATGAATTCTGGGGGGAACATGATTCCACCCCAAATAGGCATCAACCTGGAGGAGAAGTCACCTTTTAAAAATTTGCCATTGGCTCTATTTGCTTACCAAGCTATAACATTTGCTTTTTTTCTTATTTGTACAAAGTTGGATATCATTTGTGGAAGCAGTCAGCTATGCAAGATCTATTAGTTTGCAAGCTTCCCGAAGCAGAAACCCTATCTGATGCCTCTTTGGGAACTGCCATGGCTTGTATGGTAGATTAACTTCTTAAAAGTGTTTGTTTCAAGAAAGACAAATACCATATGATATCACTTGTTTGTGGAATCTAAAAAAATGATACAAATGGACTTATTTACAAAACAGAAACAGACTCACAGACAGAGAAAACAATCTTATGGTTATCAAAGGGGAGGGATAAATTAGGAGTTTGGGATTAACAGATATACAATACTATCTATAAAATAGATAAACAACAAAGACCTACTGTATAGCACAGGAAACTATATACAATATCTTATAATAACCTATAATGGAAAAGAATCTGAAAAAGAATAGATATATGTATAGGTATAACTGAATCACTTTGCTGTATACCTGAAACTAACACAACATTGTAAATCAACTATACTTCAATAGAAATTTAAAAAAATAAAAATAAATGTCTGCTGCAATGACAGTAAGGAAGCCTGAAAAGAAAACTTCTGATTCCAGCAATTGTAGCAAAACTTTTTTTTCTTTTCAACACAGGTGAGTCGTCCTTAACCTGTTTCATCCCATGTTTTTTCTGCTTCTCTGGTGGTTTGGAAAAGTCTCTTGGATTCTCATGGGTTAAGTGAGATAGGTTCTACCTCATCACTAAGTGATGCATTCCTTTTCAAAGTGGGCTCCATGGAATATTAACCCCGTTAAAAATTGTTCCAGGAGAAGAGGGTTTTGTGGTCAAATAAGACTTCTGGGAAATTGTGCATTTGCTATTCTCTTCCTGGAAATTAGCTATACCCACTGGCTTTGTAGGGGTTCTGACAAGTCCTGCAGTAGAGACACCGATTACACTTTGTTTAATCCAGTGTATCTCAAATTAACTTGACCACAGAGTCTCCCCCACCTCTTTTTTGGGGTGTAATGACACCTATTACAATCCACAGAACTAGTCCAGTGGTTTGAGTACCACTGGAGAGAGTGGTCAAGAATATAAATCTTTCAATCAGACTCAAGTTCAAAACTTAGGTTTGCTGACTTCGGACAAATAACTGAACCTCTCTGAGCCTGAGTTCCTCATCCGTAAGATGGCATTATCACGCTTCTTGCTTCACAGGATTAACTGAAATAACGTAGATAAAGTGTTTAGCACCAGGCCTGGGATATAGTAACAACTGAATACAGTTAAGTATCTATTATTATATTATTATTAAATTTTTTTATTATTTACATCCCTATGACTTCTTATATTATTCTTAGAGATCATTTGGGGGAAATGACCATCTTGATTCTAGCAAAGAAGATCAAAACTGTTGACTTTTGTACAAATCAGGGGCTTTTCCTCAGCTTCTCAGAACTCTGGGGATTGATAGTCACCGGATCCAGTCCTTCTGAAGCCGGGGAACTCTGCCAATCGGTTGTGTCCTCTTAGGCTGGTCATAAGCCAGTTATGGTCACCTGAAAGAAAATTAAGCCCCAAGTGGCACATGAAGTTCGACATTTCAAAAGGCATTTCCTGGTTACCGGATTACCTCTGGGAGTGTGAGGCTGGGGCGGGAGGGAGATGTGAGAAACAGGTCAGGGGAAATGACTTGAACATTCCTGGGTTCTAGAAGCACCAACCTGTCCTTTTCGGACGCATGTACCACAGAAGATATCACAGAGTCCACTGACGACTTGGCTGAGGCAAAGAACAGCTTCTACCACGCCGATCCCCAGCAGGATGGAGAACAAGACCACGTTCCAGAGGACGATGTGCTCAGGCTCTTGGCAGTTAGCCCAGGTGGGTTGGTTGAGTAAGTAGCTGTTCCTGCCAGGACAGGGGAGACAATTAGCCTGGTTTGAGAGCCCGGAAAGGTAGAGAGCTGCCATTTACCAGCGTGTGAGAGGCACTAGTCTATCACATCGCTCTCATCTTCATAAGGATAGTACATTCATGACTGCCCATTGGTCGAGGGTCGAACACACCATCTTTCCCTGTAACAGCACAGCATCTGAGCAAGGCATTGTGGGTACCGACATAGCCACACAAGGGAGCACAGGAAGAAGCGGGAAATTGTGTGGTGCAAGATTTGAACTGCTCTAAAGATCTCAGGGGTGGGAAGGATTGGTTAAGAGCTCGGGCTCTGAAGTCCCACAGACCCAGATCCTAACTCCAGCTTCTTCACTAGGAAGTTCTTGATAAGCTTTGGCAGGGAGGGATAAAATGTCCCCCTCTACATATCTTGAGTTCTTGTGGCTGGACTAATAATAAAATTGACACAACACAGATTAACAGGAGAAAGAGAAACAAAATTTAATGCATGCCCCTGGAGGTCTCGTAGAAATGAGACCTAAAGTAGTGGCCAGAGGAGGCAGCCTTTTTTTTGCCCACACCCCACGCGGCTTGTGGGACTTTAGTTCTCCAGCCAGGGATTGAACCTGGGCCCTCAGCAGTGAGGGCGCAGAGTCCTAACCACTGGACCACCAGGGAATTCCCCAAAGGAGGCAGCTTTTACACTCTTCAGACAAAGAAACAATACATTGGTGAGGAATCGACAGGACAAAGAAACCTAGGTTTGGGTGCTTAATTAGTAAAGAATCTAAACAGTTCGAGCTTGGTAGTAAATTAAGGAAGTAACAAGTCCTGTTCATATAGACTCCTTGGCCCTGAACGCTCTATCTCTGGCAGTTAGGGTGTCCTTTTAGCCCCCGACGTAGGGAGTGCACTTTTCACATGAGAGATTTATTTCCTGCTTTCAGGGAGACAAGAGAGGAGGGTCAGAATGGGCTTCTTGCATCATCTCTTTCTTAAGCAACTTTCACTCAAAATAATCAATATACCATTGATTGATATATGTGTCAATGTACAGCCTTCCCTGGCCCCAATAGTTTCTTAAGTGTTTCTGTATATCAGCTTCCTTATATGTAAAATGGGGCTAAAAAATAACACCAGTACCATCGAGTGGGTTGGGAGGATTAGATGTTAGCACAGTGTCTGCCATGCAGTAGGCACTGTAGGCAATATATTTATCATTATTATCATAAAACGGGGAGGTCTAGAGGTTTAGAGTAGCTGGACAGGGTTTCGTGAGGGAAGGATGGAGTCACCTGGCCTTGAAGGAGGCAGCAGCCAGTGCATTATAAGAGGAAACAGCAGGCAAACAAAAACTCTAAGGAATATTTGGCATCAGAGGGTTCTAGCTGGACAAAGAGAAAATGGAATAGGTTTTCAGGCCCTGTTTCATAGTTACATACTATTTGGTATCTCTGCCTTTAAATCTCCGCCTTCACCCATATCCATTCTCATCTATTGAGTTCTCAGTGAGATTGCAATTTCCTTAAATGTAAAGACTTCTTGGCCTTCATGAGTACTTTTACATTTTACAAAGCCCCTCTGGCTCATCTACAGCGAAAGGATTGAAGGGGAAAATGGAGCTGGGATGCCTGCTGGAGGGCTGGTGTAGACACGGAAGCAAAGGGTGTTGCAGATTTGGAACAGGGTGATGACAGACCAGGCGAAGCGCAGCGGCCAGATTCAAGGTGCCCTGGTGAGGTAGAACTCACAGGATTTGGTGGTGGATTGAACTTGGGGTGCAGAAGGGAGAATAATCAGTGACTCACAGGTTTTGGGTGCCGTCTAATGGGCTGGGGATGACAGAGAGGAAACTGGCAACGGAACATCAAGGATTTGGACATATAAATATTGAAGTGATCTGAAATTCGCAAGAGGAAATTTCAAAGAGGTGATTTGGTCTCTGAGTCAGGAATTCAGAAGAAAGATCTGGGCTAGAGATAGACATTCGGGGATTATTTATATGGGTAGATGGAGGGTTCGGAAAGCCACGGGGATGGATGAGCTCTACCAGGGAGAGGACGTGAACTGAGAGGAGAAGCAGTGTCTTTCTCAATCATTGGTGCTGGGTTTCTTTCCTTATTCCTTCAGGAAAATGAGTGGGCGTCACAGGGCCTGCCATTTAAGGATAATCTGTGCAACCCTGCAGCGTAAACCCTGACAGTTGGTTTTTCTTTTTGTAATGCAAGTGCCTGATTTAAGCTTTGATTGTGAGGCATCCGCTTCAAAGAGGGCTATCTCAGATAAACACAGTGCCAGCTTCACACCTAGGTAAAAGCCTGACTGAGGCTCCTTTGTTTTAGCGATCTTGGTTGATTTCAGTAACCGACCTTTTGGGCCACTTATTTTTTCTATTCCTGTGCTTTAAATTCCTGCTTTTATGTTGTAAGTTCATCAGTAAAGAGTGAGCCTGTGAAACCCTAGACCCCCAGCCTCAAACCCAATAAAAGCAGAACCCCAGGCCCATGCACTTGCGCTCCCTACCCCGCCACCTCCCCTCCCCCCGACCTTGCTGTGTGACCCCAGGTGTGCTGTGTAATTTCCAGGTCCTGTATGTAAGAAATCTTTATTTTTTCAAAGTTTCTTGATGGTTATTGCTGAAGGGCGTCTTGCAATCATAATAAGAACCATAAGGACTGGTCCAGCCACAACACTGCTTATGGATAGGCTGAGGTCGTCACAAAACAAACCCCAAATTTGACTATTGTCTCCCCAATTAGACTGTGAACAGGCAAGGTGTAAATAGTCAAGTGGTCTTATCCCTCTTTTGGAATCCCTTCTCTTATCACAGCGCCTAGTCAGTACTAAGCAAGCCCTCAGCACGTGCTCACCTGTGTTTAATAATGAGGGAAAATGAAGTCAAGGTATTGTACTGAATACCTTGGGTGAACTGCTTAATTCATGGGCACAGCTTGCCTTGGCCAGTCACCTCTAGAGATTGGTGATTTGGGAATAAATGTGTCAATCTGGTACAGAGAGAGGAGCAAGACACCAAGTATGAATGGAGGTACCTGGCCCCACTACTGCATAGTCAATTCTCAGAGCACACATTCTTTGTGGTCATCACGGTATCATCTTTAGATGTTAGATAGGAACCCAAGGCCATAAATGCTACTCACTCCAGGGAGTAATTCCTGAACGGGTAGGTGTAGTTTCCACTGCCTGTGTCACAGAGGGGGCCACTGAGCAAACCCAGTGAAGAAATGACCACACAGTACACGGCGCCCACAGTGCCCTGTATGGCCAGGAGCACAGGGAACAGCATCTGCAATGGAACAGAATCAGAAATTCAGTGCAGCAATGTAGAGGGAGGTGGTGGTCCTTTTGAAAGATCCATCCTGAGTTTCCTGGCAAATTGAAGAGGGGAATTGATCTGGTGGGCATCCTTGTTTTGCTTCCCAAATGCACACAAAAAATGGGGGCACTAGAGCTGAGAAGACCTATGTCCATTCATCTGCTCCATTTGCAATTATTATTTTTTTAAACGTCTTTATTGGAGTATAATTGCTTTACAATGTTGTGTTAGTTTCTGCTGTATAACAAAGTGAATCGGCTATACATATACATATATCCCCATATCCCCTTCCTCTTGCGTTTCCCTCCCAACCTCCCTATCCCACCCCTCAAGGTGGTCACAAAGCATGGAGCTGATCTCCCTGTGCTATGCGGCTGCTTCCCCCTAGCTATCTATTTTACATTTGGTAGTGCATATATATCAATGTCACTCTCTCACTTCGCCCCAGCTTACCCTTTCCCCTTAAGGGTACTTGAGGACTTGTCCTCAAGTCCATTCTCTACGTCTGAGTCTTTATTCCTATCCTGCCCCTGGGTTCTTCAGAACCTTCTTTTTTTTTTTTTTTTTTTTTTTGATTCCATATATATGTGTTAGCATATGGTATTTGTTTTCTCTTTCTGACTTACTTCACTCTGTATAACAGACTCTAGGTCCATCCACCTCACTACAAATAACTCAATTTCATTTCTTTTTATGGCTGAGTAATATTCCATTGTATATATGTGTCACATGTTCTTCATCCATTCATCTGTCAATGGACACTTAGGTTTCTTCCATGTCCTGGCTATTGTAAATAGTGCTGCATGAACATTGTGGTACATGACTCTTTTTGAATTATGGTTTTCTCAGGGTATATACCCAGTAGTGGGATTACAGGGTCATATGGCAATTCTATTTTTAGTTTTTTAAGGAACCTCCATACTGTTCTTCATGGTGACTGTATCAATTTACATTCCCACCAACAGTGCAAGAGGGTTCCCTTTTCTCCATACCCTCTCCAGCATTTATTGTTTGTAGATTTTTTGATGATGGCCATTCTGACCAGTCTGAGGTGATACCTCATTGTAGTTTTTTTTGTTTGTTTGTTTTTTTGTGTGGTACGCGGGCCTCTCACTGTTGTGGCCTCTCCCGTTGCGGAGCACAGGCTCCGGACGTGCAGGCTCAGCAGCCATGGCTCACAGGCCCAGCGGCTCTGCGGCATGTGGGATCTTCCCAGACGGGGGCACGAACCCGCGTCCCCTGCATCGGCAGGCAGACTCTCAACCACTGTGCCACCAGGGAAGCCCCTCATTGTAGTTTTGATTTGCATTTCTCTGATGATTAGCGATGTTGAGCATCCTGTCATGTGTTTGTTGGCACTCTGTATATCTTCTTTGGAGAAATGTCTACTTAGGTCTTCTGCCCAGTTTTGGATTGGGTTGTTTGTTGTTTTGAATATTGAGCTGCATGAGCTGCTTGTCTATTTTGGAGATTAATCCTTTGTCCGTTGATTCCTTTGCAAATATTTTCTTCCATTCTGAGGGTTGCCTTTTCGTCTTGTTTATGGTTTCCTTTGCTGTGCAAAAGCTTGGAAGTTTCATTAGGTCCCATTTGTTTATTTTTGTTTTTATTTCCATTACTCTAGGAGGTGGATCAAAAAAGATCTTGCTGTGATTTATGTCAAAGAGGGTTCTTCCTATGTTTTCCTCTAAGAGTTTTATAATGTTCGATCTTACATTTAGGTCTCGAATCCATTTTGAGTTTATTTTTGTGTATGGTGTTAGGGAGTGTTCTAATTTCATTCTTTTACATGTAGCTGTCCAGTTTTCCCAGCACCACTTATTGAACAGACTGCCTTTCCTCCATTGTATATCTTTGCCTCCTTTGTCATAGATTAGTTGACTAAAGGTGCGTGGGTTTATCTCTGGGCTTTCTATCTTGTTCCATTGATCTATGTTTCTGTTTTTGTGCCAGTACCATATTGTCTTGATTACTGTAGCTTTGTAGTATAGTCTGAAGTCAGGGAGTCTGATTCCTCCAGCTCCATTTTTTTCCCTCAAGACTGCTTTGGCTATTCGGGGTCTTTTGTGTCTCCATACAAATTTTAAGATGATTTGTTCTGGTTCTGTAAAAAATGCCATTGGTAATTTGATAGGGATTGCGTTGAATCTGTAGGTTGCCTTGGGTATTATAGGCATTTTCACAATGTTGCTTCTTCCAATCCAAGAACATGGTATATCTCTCCATCTGTTTGTATCGTCTTTAATTTCTTTCATCAGTGTCTTATAGTTTTTCTGTATACAGGTCTTTTGTCTCCCTAGGTAGGTTTATTCCTAGGTATTTTATTCTTTTTGTTGCAATGGTAAATGGGAATGTTTCCATAATTTCTCTTTCAGGTTTTTCATCATTAGTGTATAGGAATGCAAGAGATTTCTGTGCATTAATTTTGTATCCTGCTGCTTTACCAAATTCATTGATTAGCTCTAGTAGTTTTCTGGTAGCATTTTTAGGATCCTCTGTGTATAGTACCATGTCATCTGCAAACAATGACAGCTTTACTTCTTCTTTTCCAGTTTGGATTCCTTTTATTTCTTTTTCTTCTCTGATTGCCGTGGCTAGGACTTCCAAAACTTTGTTGAATAATAGTGGTGAGAGTGGACATCACTGTCTCGTTCCTGATCTTAGAGGAAATGGTTTCAGGTTTTCACCATTGAGGATGATGTTGGCTGTGGGTTTGTTGTATATGGCCTTTATTATGTTGAGGTAGGTTCCCTCTATGCCTACTTTCTACAGGGTTTTTATCATAAATGGGTGTTCCATTTGCAATTGTAACGAATGAAATCACACACTACAAAATAGTGAGCAGGAAATGTAACTTATTTATCACTGAACTCTTAGAGCCTACACACTGCCTGGCATGTAATATAGGTGTGCTTCCAGTCTCCTAGTCTGCACTCACAGCAGACATCAGTTATTGATCTCAGTACTCTTCCCCTAGAAGAAAAAGCGGCACAGTCCTCAAAACAGAGCAACTGACCTATTGGTATTGGCTTTGTTTGAAACCTAAATGAAACCTACTTGCCATCCTGGTGGTGGATGTTCAGTAAGTATCGTATGATTGGATGAATAAATGAATAATCATTTTTCTAATGCCTGAGTCAGCGATCAGCACAGGGCCTTGTACTGTGTACAAACTCCATAAACGTGTTGACTGGATGGGTGAATGAGTGTGACAGCGAGGCAAGTGTCTGGGACAGGCGACCTCCTGGCATATTAGCGCGTTAAATTGGGGCAAAGCTGAGGGACTCGTTTGCTTCAAAACATGAGCTCTCATTCCTGACACGTCCATGTTGTGTCTTTCTTACCACAGGAAGGGAGGGAGGGGCTGGCTGGAGTTGAATGGAATGACTCAGGGAGCTCCTTGGAGATGGTCCTCAAATGACCTGGTGACCAAGGTCTCTGTGGAGGGTCTGACTGCGGACTGCAAGGGTTGGGAGAGGGGACTCTGGGAGTAGAAAAGAAGTGAGACAGTGTATGAACTAGGAATATAAGAACAGTGAACAGCTCGCTGTGAGCAGGGACTTTGGTAAGCAGGTTTGTATGTGGGAAAGAGCACGATCTTGGGGGTCAGGAGACCAAGACGAGTCCCAGCTCAGCCAGACCTGCCTTCACTGGATGTGTCTTGAGAGCCGACCGTGTGTCAGGCATCTGGGAGTATGTAGATGACAACTGTGGACCTTGCCTTGAAGAAAGCAGCTTATATTCTTCCTGGAGTTGCGTAAATAGTCCTATATGTCCATTCCAGCTCTAAGATTACAGCCATGCGAATCTGGGCAGGCCACTCAGCCTCTCTGGGCATTTCCTTTCCTATTCATCAAATGTAGACAAGTTTGCAAAATTTGTGGTGACAGTTCCATTGGTTTCTTCCAGCAGTGATGGGCAGTGGAAAGAGCAGTGGTATAAGAGGGCCACATGTCAGGAACAAGACACAAATACATAATGGATACACTTACAGAGTGTCAGCCTTCTGTTCTTCATGGGGCGACTGTAAGAGAGTATCTGTGAAAGAGTTTTTGACAGTAAAATCTCCAATTCCCTTCTTGCTCAAATCCCAGTTCTAGGATGTGTTAATCTACTGGCTGTTAGGGAAATAAGAAAGCCAGAGGATGGAGGGTCCTCGACCTTCCCACAGACAGACAGACTGATAGAAACAACCAGCCAAACCCTGGCAGGCTGGTCCACCAGAGCTCACAGGCTTTGTGCGTTAACGGCTCTCTTTGTACCCTCTCCAGGCTCATTCTTCCTGGGATCTCATGCAATAACCCTCATCACTGTTGGAGAGAGCCCTGCATAATATCACTGTGCTTTAAAAGGAAGTATTTGTCATTCAGATGTGGAAAAAATAATACAAGTGGGTGTATATGCAGAACAGAAACAGACTCACAGATACAGAAAACAAACTCATGGTTACCAAAGGGGAGAGGGAAGGGGAGTGGGACAAATTAGGCATATGGGATTAACAGATACAAACTATTATGTATAAAATAGATAACCAATGAAGATATACTATATAGCACAAGGAATTATACCCATGATCTTGTAATAACCTGTAATGGAGTATAATCTGCAAAAATACTGAATCACTATGCTCCACACCTGAAACTAACACAATATTGTAAATCAACTATACGTCAATAAAAGTAAATAAATGAAAGGAGGGTATTAGAAGTACTAGACTATGGTCAATGGGTTAATAGTCTGGCCTTCAGAAGAGAGAAAGCTTGCAGCCTGGGAAGTAAGCCCTTTTGGGGGTATGGGTGGGTGTCGAAACATTCTGTAGACCCCACAGTACTTACCCCGCATCTGTGAGCACGGCAGTCCTCTCCACCTCCCCTCAACATTATCAGTGCTGGCACCATAACCTGTGGCAAAGAAGATGCTCTTGTAATGAAGGGAATGTTACCATTTTGGAACAAAGTTCCAAAACTCAAGCTATTTAAAAATGTCTAATGATTCCTCATTGCCTGTAGGACACAACACAGGTCCTGGACATTGTA